ATTCTATTCTATTCTATTCTATTCTATTCTATTCTATTCTATTCTATGGTCAAGTTTAGGTACTATGCAATAAACATACTGTATGTATATACTAGTTGTTTCTTTTTCTGCCACTCTTTAAAGCAGTCATATCCAACCCATAGCCTGTGGGTCACATACAGTCCTGGACAGCTAATAATGTCGTCCCACGAGATTGTAAACTTTAAAAATTATTATATAATTTTTTTATAAGTAATATCATTTGTTATATTTTATATGCAGCCCAATATAAGTTTTCTTCACTCAATGCAGCCCAGGCAAGCAAAAAGCAGGGGTGTCAAACACACGGCCCCGGGCTGAATGCGTTTGAGTTTTTCTCAAAAGTCAAACTGAAAGTAACTAATTGTTAATATTTCAGTATTAATATACCAAAGTGTTTTAATGATAAAACCAGTTATTTTCAACTGCAGATTTTACTACAGGAGCAAAATCTGGGGATAAGGTATAAATTCAATGTTCCCATCTCTCGTACTGGCAGTGGTGACAATGAAGTTGGCTTCACATGGAATCACCTCCCTTGGTCAGAGTGCTCTGCTACTTGCGCTGGAGGTAAGTTAGCTTCTAACCATCTTGAAATATTAGCTAAGTAGAAATATATGAAATATTTATAATATAATAAAGGGAAACATATGTTATTTATGTTAACAGAAACATTATTGTTAACAAAAAATGGGGTACAAACCACATTCTTACTTCTTGAGTTTTGGAGCGGGGCACAATGTTTATTTCTTTGTTAACCAAAAATTATAAATAAGCCCATCCTAATATACTATTATTGTACCATAAAATCAGCCCACCAATACTAAGTAAAACTGTATAGTTTTAACTATCAGTATGTGCTGGAGTTAGTCAGTTCATAAGTGGGTTGTCTGTAATAATAAAGGGAAATGTCTATGGAGATTCTCAGTCATCCAGGTCATGGTTGTCCCAAAGGTGCTTTTTTTTCAAGTGACAACTGGACTTTCTTTGAAGACGTTTTGTTTCTCATCCAAGAAGCTTTGGGGAATATTTGTAACTCAGGGTTGAAATGAAGGGTACTTGGTGTTCTCTGAAATTGGTTGTTTTCTTGCAGACATTTCATTACCCAAACTAGGTAAGATCATCAGTAGTAGTAAGGGCTGGAGTTTGCTCTCAGTTTATATTCCTTTGGGTGGTCTTAGAAATTTTTTGGTTGGGCTGTTTATTGTTGGCTTGTTTGGCAGTTCCTTGATTGGGATATTGTTTACTTGATTGTTAGTCTGATGTTAATCTATGCTTGTCTGGTTGCTGATTGCTGATGGGGAAGTATTTTGGTCTTTTTGTTCCCTTGTTGATAGACTCTTTTACATAATATATAGATCAGTGGTGGGATTTAATTTTTTTTACTACCGGTTCAGTGGATGTGGCTTATTTTGTGGATGTGGCTTAGGGACCATGTGATTGGGTGTGTGTGGCTTATTTGGTGGCGTGCTTGGCAGTCATGTGACTGGCTGGGCATGGCCAAGTCGACATCACTGACTTCTTTGCCCTAATGACCTACAAAAAGAAGATATACAAAATGGTAGTTTATTATTTCATGCACTTACTACTTAAATAAGAATAAAACAAGTACACAAACAATGAAGGAGGTACACACAAGTACTTACATAAGAATGATAAAAGTGCTGCGTGTCTTCTATGTCACTGACTTTTTTGCCTTAATGAATGACCTGCAGAAAGAAGATATTTTGTTAAGTTTTAAATTTTGTGTGCTTACTACTTAAAAAAGAATAAAACAAATACACAAAACAATGAAGGAGATACACACAAGTACTTACATAAGAATGATAAAAGTGTGGTGTGTCTTCCATGTCACCAACTTCTTTTGCCCTAATGCAGAGGTCCCCAAACTTGGCAACTTTAAGACTTGTGGACTTCAACTCCCAGAGTCCACAAGTCTTAAAGTTGCCAAGTTTGGGAATCCCTGCCCTAATGAATGACCTACAAAAAGAAGATATAAAAAAGGTAGTTTATTATTTCGTGCACTTACTACTTAAATAAGAATAAAACAAGTACACACAAACAATGAAGGAGGTACACTTACATAAGAATAATAAAAGTGCTGTGTGTCTTCTATGTCATCAACTTCTTTGCCCCAATGAATGATCTGCAGAAAGAAGATATTTTGTTAAGTGTTTAATTTTGTGCACTTACTACTTAAATAAGAATAAAACCAGTACACACAAACAGTAAAGGAGGTACACACAAGTACTTACATAAAAGTGTTTAGTGCCCTCCTCGCTTGCACTTTTCTTAGTTTTCACCTTCGGATCATTAGGTGTGTGATGATGTGCTCGTAACCATTTTGTGACAGTAGGAAGAGGTTTCCATTCTTTTAGAGGTAGGCTAATCACACTAATGGTCATCAGGTTGGTTATGTTAGAATAGTTAGGCGACTTCTCTGTTCTGAACATATGAGGTTCATTTTTGAGAAACCCTTTTCTGCTTCTGCTGAACTTACAGCAATTGTTCTGACAATATATTTAGCTTTTTTAATATTGTCAGGAATTGCATAGTTCTTTGAATCTTTTAAAACATTTTCTATGAAATCTCTATAATTGTTGATATTAATTTCATAATTAAAGATTTCATTAAAGGTAAGCAATTGCTCTTCAGCTTCTGGCCATGGAACTACAATTTCTTCAATATTCCAGTAATCTGTCTCCAAAAAATGGAGAAATCGTAATTTATCTGTGGTGTCTTGCAATTGGCTACCTGTTTCTAAATGTTGACAATCCATTAGTCTTTTCTTCAAGTTTATTATGATGCTTTCCAAAAATCTTTCCCAAGGAAGTCCAACAAATCGATGATTTTGTACAAATTTTATATTTTTGAAGGTTTCTGAAGTAATTAATCCATTAACCTTTTTTTTCATAGGGACCCTTTCACTGTCTGAGCATTTCAAATGGTTTAATTGATCTCCGCACAAGTTTTTCAGCCTTTATAATGTCAGTATTTCTTCCTTGCAGTGCATTTGACAGAAGAGATATTTCATTGAGAATATCAATCATCAATGCCAAATCATTTTAAAAATATATATTTTCAAGACGGGCAGCCATACCAGAGTATTTTTCATTTGCATGAAAGTACTGATGTAGCACTGGATAAGCACGCCATACAGCTAGGATTGACCTTAAACTACAGGCCGCCCATCTTGGTCCCAAAACTCTACCAATCTTTACAATTTCAATTCCAAGTTGTTTAGATATTTCAAACAGTTCATTTTGGCTCTTACAGGACTTATGGAAAATACTGTGTATCTTGTCAAGAAATATTTTGAAATGATTCAGTTGCTTAATGTCCTTTATGGAGACACCTAAAACAAGTTGCAGGCGATGGTTTAAGCAGTGCCATATTATGATGTTATGATGTTTTGCTAATTGCTCACTCCAGATTTTCTTCCAAGAATAATACTGGCACCATCAGAGCAAAATGCTATTAATTTTTTTTGCAGATAGTCTATAGTAAACCCAACATTATGCAAACTTTCCAAAACTGAAGAACATATTGTCTATGCATCTTGTTTTTCCAATTCAACAAGCTAAACAGAAATTGTTGGTGGATTATCTGAATCCTCAACTTTTACGAAAACGATCACAATTGATTTGCATGATAGCACTGAGGCTTCGTCAATAATTAAACATATTTTCAGGTTCTGTTCAATAATGCTAGTAAACATTTTGGTTTTAATTTCTTTTGCAATGAAATCAACTATTTTCACTGCAGTTCACCGTGAATGCAATCCTACTCCAAGATCTACACCCATTACAGTTTGCAATTCTACCTGTCCTTCTATGTCTGAAAATGATTTACATCTTTGTGCCAGACTGTAAACTGTCAAAAATAATCTACAAGTAGTAGATAAATATTTGTCAGACATCTTATCTACTGATTTCATTATAGCGTCCTGCTCCCCTTGTTTTAAGTTATCACTACAAATGGCATGAGCTTTAGATGTAAAGTGTTCTTTCATTTTTTTTTCTAAGAGAAGCTTGCTGAACTTCTTTAATTGTCCCTGCCGCCTCAATCTTGAAATGTTTCCACTCCTCGGACACATGAACACCTTTCTCTACTGCAAAGTCATGTTTTGCACAGTACTTACAACCTAATTTTTTCTTTGAAACTACCAGCCCCTCATACTTCTCTTGATAACTTCTATATTGCTGCAATGTCCAGCAATCTGGAAGATCAGGAAGGCTTTCAGTTTCGGAAAATGACTTGCTGTTTTCTCCACGTTCAATTGGTGGCAGTGCTGTTAGTGACCCTGACGGTTGTGGATCTGTTGTGTCTGATTCTGATTGTTCCATTTTTGGTTTCTTGGCAAAGAAAGCAGTCAAACTCTGTTGTCTTTTCATCCTACTGCAAAAGACATAAAACAATACTGTGCTTTGATTGGACTCGATTGTGGCTGAAAGCTGAGGACTAAGGTAACAGAAGGGATCTCTGTTATTAATTATCTCAGAAACTAAAGTTGCTTGTCTCATAAAAGCAGCTGGACTTCATGTAAAATGTCTCCTGCATGCTGCAAGCATCAACATCAAAAAATGCTAGGACATGTTGTTATCATAACTACACAACTGAAAAATCACACTGTAACATGACTGGATTGGACGCAGACCCACAAAACTCCCTACACAACTGAAAACTACACACACACACTCACAAAGCAGATACATCTGAAAAAATCTAACAATATAGCTTTAATTTATAGGCAGATAACATTTCACACAATTTAAAAGAACTTCCATATACACACAATGACAATCTCACAAAGCAGCTGCTTTCTAAAAATAGAAAAGCAGCTAAATTTATATGACTATTTCCTTAAAAAAAAATTAACACACTGTTTTTTTTAAATCAGGGGACTTCAAACTTGACAGCTTTAAGACTTGTGGACTTCAATTCCCAGAATTCCTACTCCAATCATGTTAGCTTAGGAATTCTGGGAGTTGAAGTCCATAAGTCTTAAACTTGCCAAGTTTGGACACCCTTGGTTTAAATCATGAAAAAAAAAAAGCCACTTACCCAATTGAAGAAAGCAGGCAGGCAGAATCAGTTGCTTGCCAATGAGCTGGATGCATAGACAAGCAGTACAAGCAAGGCAGGAGGCAGGTCAGCAGCAGCCATTCGGGAATCAGGAGAAGGAGTCTGAACAAGTAGGTGCTTGCTCGAGGCTGGGGGAGGGAGGGAGGTGGGTTACTTTAGACCAAGACCTATGGGCCCTGGCTGGCTGGCAAGGAGCCCCAAGGGCATTTTGAAGCCCGGTGGCGGGGGCAGGCAGCCACAACGGGTAGCGGCCACCCCACAAGGGACCTGTGGTGGCTTGGGGAGCTACACCAGCCCGCGGATTGAGGCTGTGGCCAGCAAGGAGCTCCGGGGGCATTTTGAAGCCCAGCAGTGGGGGCAGGCAGCTGCAATGGGTAGCGGCTGCCCCACAAGGGACCCATGGCAGCTTGGGGAGCTGTGCCAGGCCATGGATTGCGGCTGTGGCTGGCAAGGACCTCTGACGATTTTTAGAAGCTCTTGGGGGA